GATTTTATGGTTACAGGCGAACGGTCCTTTCATCTCTTTAATTAAAGCAAAAGTAATTAGAAGCTTCCTCTGTGTTGGTATAAATAACCCCTTACGCGTGGCAACCGTATTTAATAATTTCAAACGTTGATTTATAACCGTTCAATAGGTTTATTACGACGGCCTGTTCGAATTTAATTATTCACAAGGCGTGCTAAATTGCGACCAACCTGCATAAAGTGATGAAAGCTATTGGATTTAAATAGAAATCAATAAAGTCCTTATCGATGGACGTACTTAAAACAATACAAACATTTTTCCCTTCTTTTTGTTTTCACTCTGACGGTATGAATAAAAATTTGTCCCTTTATGGATTAGCGCATATTGGAACAATGAATATCAATATCTTTCGCTGTACAATGCATACTATTTCACCAATCAATAATACAAACAATAGAGGTATTTTTGATACTCCATTTCAATACATAGCTGAACGGTATCAATGGATAAAGGAAGTTTCATCAAAAACTTGAAAATCAAGAATACTAATATAATGATTGATTAATTTAGAAAAATGTATAATAGATGCTGTGTCAGAAATAAAACAAAAATCAAGGAAAATCCTACGATTTTATGATTTTCAAAAATAAAGAAATCTCATAGATTAACCTCTCTGCTATTATGGATAGCTGCAGTCTCTTGATAAAAAAAAACGTGCGCACATTAAAGTATCAGAGATACCATGAAAATTTTTACTTTTATTCGCAATAGCTACCTTTCAATCTAAAACTAATTTCACAAAAATTAATGTGATAATTAGTAGTATATAAAAATGATATTTCAACAAATGATTTCGTGATCTTATTTTCAAAAGAAAAACAAAATCCCGACATTTTGCCTTTCCTTCCACCCTCCATATGGTTCCCGCATCCGAAGAAAAAACCCCCAGGTACCAGTAAGTTTAATTCGTTCAGACAATGGTTTACTAGCGTTCGTTTCCGCGAACGATCAACGAAATGATTCTTCTTCTTGCAAGAAGTAAAACTGGAAGCTGACTGGTGTAACCAGCTAAACGAACGTATACTTTTCCCCGCTTACTTTTTCCCCCTGGTTCTTTCTCTTCATCTTGCAACGAGGGGTGGAAAGGAACGCGCGAGACTGACCCTTCGAGGCTGAAACCCAATTGAGTTCTGGACCGCAGTTATCCGATTATCACTATATAGAGTAAAGCGTGCTCGCGCCCGTTGGCGGTGATAGCGAACGACGGTGTTGGTGCCCTCTGCCTCGAGTTGGATACATGCCGCGAAAGGAAGCGGGCGATTAATCACGTTTTACTAGACTTCCAGCCGAGCCAACCAATTTGGCCGGAAAGGTCGTTGTTTCTAGATAAGAAAGAGAGAAAGAGAAGGAAGCCGGTGTTTTTTGTGGAACAATCGACGAGACCGACGCTGATCCAGAGTATGGACAAACAATCTTATCTGCCGGCCAAGAGATAGGACTCTCAATTTCTCCTACTATCTCTCTCTTTCAGTTCCCTACATCAACCTTCGACCTTCTTCCTCGACCGTTCTCCCTCGATACTGCTCGAGATTCAATTCTCCATCGGATCCTCCACTTCCGGACGTCTGGAGGAGAAAGTAACATCCTCCTGGGCGGACGGATACAGCTTATCACCGTGAACGATGCTGACTGGTAAATATCGCGGGAAAAGCAAACAGGTGTTCCCCGACGGAAACAATGAAGAAAAGCGTTTTCCTAGACGACCGTGCATTTATAAGTTTGAAGAAATTTGCTTGGAGCTATTCTGATCTTTTCGTCGATACGATGTTCATTCGAATGATAATTTTCTTTTTTCTTTAATAATTAATTATTTAGATTATGTCAATTGTAAGGTAATCAGTAAACCTTTGTACTATAACAGGTTATTAATTAATTTGCTTTTCATTAAAAATCTTAGCTAGTAAAAAATTTGATTTTCAAAATTATTTTAATTAGCAGCTTTTGAAATAGGTAACTCTATAATTTACTAAATAGTGTTATCAAAAGTGGTTATGTCATAAATATTTGTGTCTATGTCCACGACTGAGAGTTACATACTACTCGCATAGTAGTAATTTGTGGATTTAGTCGACCATAAATTCAACAGTCCTAACACTGATTGCAATATAATGTTGACATAGGACGCTGCATCATAGAGATATTGTATATATATATTGCAGATATAACAGAATCGTCAACTAATCTGAGGTTGGATTGCATTTATTAAGATGCTAGTGGAACATGAGATTAGCCATCACGAATTTGATTATATACTATATTAATTGCATAATATTATGTTTCATGACCTAAAAACTACTATTAGTACATAAATGGCATGAAGAAAAAAAAGAGGAAGTAGATTGTAATGGATAAATCTCTAATTAAGTGTTGATTGCAAATATGTTAATAAGTAAAATAACTTGAAACCTTGAACAATTTAGCATTAAATATAGTTATTAAATTTTAAAGTTGTTGAATGATCATCTTACAAATCCCACTTACTAAAGTTTCCCAGATTCATTTATCAAAATTATTACCTCAGATCTCTCCACGTCCATTTATCCATTTATCCATTATGTGACAGATATTGTTTAATAAATGTTCTTAAAATCTGCTACCATTATAATTAAAAAAAAAAAATAAAATTTCCCATGCTCTTGCAGTTTAAAAAACTTATTCCAAGTCACCTACTCCCTTTATAAACCTATTACACCTTTAATCCCATTAACTCTATTCTCAAAGAAGCTTGCCTCTAGTTCAGTGATCTCCGTACCACCGACCAAACTTATTTAATTATTTTTCTATCAACCTAAACCTGTTCCATCGTACAGGTGAGAGCCATTCACCGCAAACTTATCTAATCATTGGAACCGTGCTTCAAAGTAACCCACTATCCATCCCAAGAATTCCTGTCAGCAAAGAGACAAAAGGTGGTTGGACAAAGATACAACGCTTTATTTTCACCGGTCGAGAATTAAACAGCTCGACCAAATGAACTTGATTCGAATTCCATACGATCCAGTCGAATCTATTCTCTTCTACGGAAAGAGGAACACGCCTGAAGGGGTTGCACGTAGTTCCTTTACGTGTTGCCGAAGAGGCGAAGGTACCAGCCTTCGGGAATGGTAAATTAATTCGCGAATGACAAGGCCAGTTGTCGGCACCGTTTCTACTCGTTTTCACCGAATAAACATCAAGACCAGAAGTTGACCGGAGCGACATCGCTTCCGGTTACCCGGGTCCCGGTATATCCGAAATACACGTTTCCTCTGGCTCGAATTTGGCACCGTTTCTCCCATGCATCTGCATCGGACGTCAGCTCTCGGAAGCGGCTTTCGCTCGAGCCAACTGTGTCGAACGCAATCCGTGAACTGCGATTCGAATTGATATCCAATTCCGGTCCTGGCGATCTGCGAAATTACGGAGCTAACTGCTTTTGCGCGATGGAACACGCGCCTGATTGCGCTTCAATTTCCAACCTACGCGAGAACTATTTGATGATTGACTTCGACGTATACCCTACTGTACCACGATAATATATTTTTGATCTGTCGTAGAATTTTAATAATTTGTTTATGTGCGATTGAAGATTTAATGGATTTAAAAAGATATGTTAAATTTATTAAAATACTGAAAGCTTATATTAAAAAATTAAAAAATATAAAATAGAAGTCATACGTGTGTGACGCGGTATAAAAGCCACTCAGCTGGTCCATTTATCACATCCTGATAGTATCCATATATGAAAAAATGTGCATCATTTCCCGTAAAATTATTCGAATCGACAGATACATGCAAAATTTTTTCATAAATACTTTGAAAATAAAATAAATAATCTTACACGTTTCTAATGAGGAAAATAAATAAAGATGTTTCTATTGCTATGCACCCAAAATGACTTATTTTTTAAAATATTCTTGCAAACGTTTTTATATTATTTTCTAATATTATTTTACAATAAATTGTATCTGCAATTCATAAAAAAGGTCTTACTTTTATCCAATAAACAAATTTAGATAAAAATAAATGTCTGTCAGTCACAGTCACTGACCATCTTTTATGAGAATTAAAGAAGTGAAACGAGGCAGCAGAAAAGTGGAATGAGACACTTAAAAAAGATTTTATACCTTCCAGATGACCTAAAAAAGGTCATCTTCGAAGTTACGATGAACTTTAGAAAATGTACCAAGCTTAACAGCAATTTGAATTTTCAACTTCAACTTTAAAGGAGTCTGGTAGAATAGCAATTCTATGTTAATAATCTGACAGTGGCATATTTCATGAAATCTATTATTCTAGCAGCATTATATACCTTTTTATATGCAAAAGATTTCATTCCTAAAATCTGATCTTTTAAAATAGATTTTCAGTTCAAGGTGCAATATTTAAAATAAAATAAAGAGAAAAAGCAATCGAATCGAAATGGTTTATAAGAGCACTTTTCTCTCTTTTCGAAAAGCATTCACCACTTTTCTACCCATACAAAGCTTTAAAGCTAAAAATCGAGAATATCGATTTGGATGAAACGACACGCGCATATATATGCAGACCATTTTACTATTTCACGCAAACAAAAGAGCTTTGTCTTTTATCGAGCGGCTATTTATACGTCATACAATGTCGATAAAATGCAAATTATGAATGTATATTACTTCCTGTAATTAATAAAAGTTTCCAATTACATTTTACCACCATTGTTTTCTACTAATAACGTTGCCTATTGTGCCGCATACAAAGGCGGTAATTGGTATGCCGAAGTCGTGAACTTGTTTCCCAATTTATCCCGTTGTTCCTTCTTATCTCCGTCGAAGGATCAAAGGATCAAAGGGTACCACGTTCATCGTTAATTAACCGTCCATTCGCGAACTATGAATTTTAATTCAACTTCAAAACTGCGATGGTGAAACGAGCAACGAGAAAAATGTCTCGCAGAAAGGGAATAGTAGAGGAGATAAACGAAACTGTTGACTTTTTCCACTCACCGATTGGCACGTTGACAGCAAAGAGAACGACAAGGACGCGATGGCAGAGCATTGTGCACTGCATGGAAAACGCGATGAATCGTCCTCGTGGTCGATGGAAGTAGCTGCTCCTTTTATCTACTTAACCCTGTCATCTTCCGCGGGATCCTCTGTTTCCAGTCTTCTGGCGCATAGCATGCCTGAAACAGAAGACAGACCGTTTATAAAGCATCGGTTAATCGTTATTTCGGTGGTCTTCGTGAATCGAACAACGGGCCGGGGAACCGCGTTGTTTTCGATGAACGGACAGAAGGATGCCTCGTCACCGGTCCGCTTTATCGCTCGTTTCCACCAAGCGAACTTTCGACTCGCGTACCCTCTTGCATCGCAAAACTAACTATCATCGTTATCTGAACAGAGCTGCCATTTCTCCTCGTCGACGTTCGATTCTGTTCCACGAAACTTACCCAATGGGCCAGTCAAATCATCGTGACTGGGGAGAAGCTAATGGTTCCGGGACAGCATGCTTTATGTTACATCGTTGTACAACATTTATCTAGAACACTATTTTCAAATATCTTCTTGGGTGTGTGCGCGCGAATGATAATTTAGAAAATGTTTAGAAAAATTCAGTAGGGTGTGAAGATATGTAAGAATTCGATTGGAGGAAAAATTGAGGGTAGAAGGCAACTATAAGAGAGTCGAAGTGGGTACAAGAAACGACCAGGTAATTAATAATTAAATTTTGGCGTGTACAATCGAAGCAATAAACGACCCAAGAATTACTGAAGCTCTGGGCCTTTTCGAATTTTCTTAATTTATTTTATAACGCGACTAATAATTGCCTTTGAACACTTTGGCAGAATAATTGTTCTAAGTAAGAAACCTTCGCCGTTGTCAGCGATACAGAGGGCTTAATGACAATAATTTCCGCTAGAATATCAACTATACACCCATCGTGTCCATAATGTTGAACAAAACGAAAAGCTGTAATGCAAGCGTATTATTATTCGACGGTGATGTTCGCTGGTCGCATTGCAATTTCTCCATAGCTATCACGAAATTGTTAATTTTCCATATTCCATAGGGTGATGCGAATTCCGTGCACAACCGTACGTTCCGCACGATGCACACCATTGATCAGATTCGCAGCTTTCCTGTTCGACCTGGCCAACAGGAGACAGTTTCATCATAAAGTATTTGTAATGCTAATACGCTCGGGACAGAAGCTATCCTAAACTCGGTATTGGCTACGTTTCTCGTTAAAGTCGTTTCGAATGATCGGCCGATTGATCCTCGGCAAAGTCATCGACCGATAAATAATTAATCACAGTCTGCATAAACAATATAACAGCAACCTACTTTGAATAATTTGCAAAACATTGATTCTTACAAGCTGATCCAGGAAGTGAATTTTTTATTACTTTGCTAAACGTTAACAGCGTTAATTAATTAAGCAACATTTTAATAAGAAATGAGATGCAGCTTCGTATAAATATTTTTTGAATAAACGACTGGTCTTGATAAAACTTTTGACGGCAATATTTACGAAAGCACCGATTCCTGAGTCGAGACGTGGTAAAATGCGAAACACGGAACACCGAACACGAAATACTGCAGTTCGTTACCGAGAAGGTAAAGCCGATCTATACCACAAACAGCGAAGGTAGAGACGAAAGCAAAAGCAGCCTCGAGTTGGTTCTTTCACGCAGGCAGCTGAAACAAAAATACTCGGACGGAGCTAACTCTAATTTACATTCACACGTATCTATGTACCCTGCATATTTACAATGCACGTGTGCCGGAAGCTGGTCCATAAACCATCGAGACGTTTTAACGTCTTCAGTTAACAGTAAGACATTTTTAAAAGACTACCATTTTTCAGAAATGTTCTGTTATTGTATTTTAACAAGCTTTTCATTTCAACAGTTAAGATGTTAAAATTATAAATTAAAATATATATTATAAATCAAAAATAGAATCATTTAAAAAGAATTCTTCATATTTTTAGCACTTTCTGTGTATTCCGCTAATAGAAAAGCTTACAGAAAGACCACCATGTAAAATAAATAATAACCCATCAGCATTGATAGACACATCATTAAAAGATATCTATTCTAATCGCACGGTTGAAAATAAACCACTGCAACATTGAATTTCAACCCATTACAGGTGTAATAAGGGCTTATGTGCTTAGATCAGACGTAGATTAAAATCAACAGAGTAGATGGGCCTAGCGTGAGAGATCACTCGGTAGAGATAATTATTTTTCAAGCACCGTTTGACGTTTGGAAAACACGTGCTTCCTGATGATTAATTAGGAGAACAAGACAGCGCCGGAAGCATGGGGAAATTTAAATAAATTTCTGGCTATTTGCCTGCCATTCAGTCTTCTATTTATTGTCAGTTTATTATTTAACAATAAAAATAGAACTTCTGCTGGTTGTGATGAAATCGAAAATTTAAAAAATATAAATATTAAAAGTGTTTCAGTCCATATTAAAAGGATTAATTAGTAAATATTTAATGTTTCCGATAAATGAAACTTTTCAGCGTATAAAAGGTCAGGTTTATTTTTATGCACGTGCTATCGAAGCAGGTGGTTTTAAATAAAACGTTTTCATTTTTTTTCTATCCTTCCACTGAAATGTTTAAAATATTCATCGTCAACCATTGGTCCTACATTGAGCCTGCTCTACATGGCACATCACGTACACGTATACCGTGTCTGACCAAACCGCGACACTATCACTTTTCCGATGATGATCGTTTGCGGCTGCACAGGTATTTCGGTACAAGAGTAGGCGAAATTTACGTGAAAATAAATTTGAAACGCTACACGACCACCACAATTTCCGGATCGCTTTATTCAACACGACCTGACGCCTGTATCATCGATAAAAATGGTAAAAATGATATTTCGCGAACGGTTTATAGCTTGTGAATTTTTAATCTCGATGCTTTACTTTTATCTCAAGACGAGGTGAGATATTTTCAGAAGTAACAAATTTTCTTGGAGTTTAATTTTGCTTTCGAAAGAATTTAGAATTTACAGCCTTTTATGAAAATTTTAATTTCTTTCTTTCTATGGAAATTTTCATTCATATTTATTTTAATAAAAACTTATTATTATCTATTAGCTATTGTAAAAAAACATAATATTTGACTCCTTGAGTATTTTAATAGTTAAGGATTTATCAATTAAAACAAGGTAGTGTGTGAGCAATATCTAACTTGATTCTGTACGTCGAAATAAACGACTGTTTACGGCAACAGGATATTTGACCCTACAATGGCTGCAAGTGTTTCCGGAAAATGATTATCAGATAGATACTGTCTCCAGGGAGAAGCAATAGTCTAGACTGGTACACATTATTCTCTCGAGAACTTTAGCTTGCCTCCTGTAAATTAACCGTCACGTAAAACCGAAATTCTACCAAATGTCTCTTAAAGAATACAGAAAGGTGTTCCAAGTAAATTTACAGGAACTGATATTCATGAGACAGTTTTATAGTTTTGCAAACATTTCCTAAATTACATGTTTTGGAACAAAATTATAGTATAATAAAAAAACTATCACAACAGAAATTATAAAACAATAAAAATAAAAATTTTAAAAAATAAAATAATAAATTGACAAAAAAAAAGCAACTGAAATTTGTATCGATACATTGTTTCCCAATTAAAAAATAAAAATATTATTGATTAATTCAAAAACTTGTAAATTGGTGTCAGTCAGAAATTTTAAAATATTATTTTTTTGTTAAATTCCAATTTGAACATTGCATATAATAAATTACAAATGAAAATAGCTCAATCGAATAGGAATTCATATAGAACACGTTGCGTTGTTTGCGGTGCTAAATGTACAAAGATAATATTAGTGGCAGACGGATAACGGAAAATGATGCACATGCTAACAATGTTCAGAAACAATTACGCTTTCGAAAGACTTCCTATTCAATTTTATACCCTGCTCCAGAAATGATCAATACCTATGCAATTTCCTATACGCACCAATTGCTCTATGCATTCCCAATGAAACGTCGCTGTATGAAACAAAACAGAACAGTAAAGGGCGTTGGGTTTACAAAGAGTCAAATAAACGGGTCATAGAACCATACAGCATCCCAAAATTCAATATATTGAATGAAAGCATTTATTAAAACGAACTTCAAACAAATTTTTTTATTATTCAATAATGTTTAGAATCGCAATTTATTAATAATAAAAAATTGAATACAGACAGGGGACACATAAATTTCCTCTTTAATATTAAACAAAATTAGATTAAAATTTTATTGATGTTTACAAAAAAAATATACAAAAATTTTAAGGAGTACAGTACCGAGCATGATAGGTTTCCCCAGGAAAAGAGAATGACAATGAAGGGCAGAGGGTTCCTTATATATACAGCTTCCCAGCACTTGCGTATTAACGTTTACACGGAAGAATTTTATTGACACGTATATCATTATTTATATTTCTTAATTATTATATTAAATTTTATAATTGAAAGTTATATTATTTTGTTTCTAAAATTAAAATTCAGGTTTTGAGAATTTCTACTTCCCCTGTAACACTACTCTTTTCAGGGTATCCTACTTTGCTCAATACTGTACATATGTACATCAGGGTCCAAATGACCCAAACAGTGCTTTTAGGTAGACAGAACCTTTTTGATGCAAAGGTATAAGGTATGCTCGTCTACGTTCTTTCGAGCATCGTGCAGACGTGAGCCGTGAATTCGTGAATATTCAGCGAGGCCCATCTTCGAGGCAGGTTTACGACTTCTCTTCGCTTTTACGAGTTTGTCAAGATGAAACGACTTGGCGCAAACTCGAACCCTTCTTTCTTTCCGTGCCACCGATGCGTGAGAAAACGTTTTCTCTGAACCGTCTCACCTCAGACAGTGAATACAGTGATCGACAAAAGTTTAAGATCCCAAGGGTCCCGCTCTCTGAATTGGTCCCTTGCCCTTTCTATTTTTTTTTTCTTTTCTCGTTCAACGGAAATCGAAGAACGTTGGCTACAGAGAATTTATGTAATTATCGAATTTCCGTCGACTTCGAGTTTGTTAACTACGATAGAAGTTTCAAGGCCCTTCTGTTTAATTGAAAATTTATAAGCCGAACGTTCGGGCGTTAATTGAACGGCTTTAATTGAAACGCTCTTAATGAACTCCAATCACACGTTCAAA